ATTTTTTAATACTGCATAAATATTCATTGTCTCATGCCTGTTTGCTTTGGATGCTATGTGCTGAGCTTGTTAACATGTTGCTTCTTGTGATCTGTATACTGCTGCTTGCTTTCAATTAATAGACTCTGAAAAGGCTTTCCTGGCATGTTTAAAATAAAAGTATTGCATGTACGTTAAAAAAAAAAAGCATAGTGGGGCGAGCTCTGGTGGCCTAGTGGTAAGAAGCTGCACTGCAACCCCAGATGTGTGCGGTTCAAATCCACCAGATGCTTTGCTGGAGAAGGAGGAACCATCTCCTCCTGTACCAGTCAAATCGGATTTGATGGTACACACACACACACACAAAATAAAATAATTTTTTTTTAAAAAAAGAAGAAATAGCATTTTTTTAAAAAAAGGCATAGTGGGCTTTGGAACATAAGCTCTACTGCACTGTAATTTGAGATCCTTGGACTCTGAGTCTTCATTTACAGTCAGAAGAGGTGGGACCGTAACCGTATTATCTGTACCCTTTCAGATTATGTGACACATCTCAACATTGAACTGAAAAGATCTTTTAATGAGCCGATGGACTACCGTCATTTTTATCCCTAATCAGAAGTCACTGAAAGGCGGTATTCGTTGCAAATTTTTAAAACGTATGCCTCAACAACAATTTTTTAAAAGCTTTTAAAAAATGCATGCGTAGACTCATTAATTGTGAATGGAAATGACAAAGTTCAATCTTGAGTGATGCAGCATCGCAGGGTCATGGAGGGCAGGATTCCCAGACTATCATAAAGGCTCTGCTGACGCTGCAGGCGGACGCCAGCCTCGACCTGTCACTGCAGGCCACGCCCCTCAGTCGGCCCCAGGATGACAACGCGGCTTGCACGTGTGCGGTCCAGGGGTGGGGTCAGCTGCACCGGCCTGGAGAGCCCGCCCCATTAGGGGCTCCTCGCCGCCGGAAACGGAAACAGCACCGGCGCACTCAGAGTACTCGTAACTACCACCGAGATGCCTAAGGCGCCCAAGCAGCAGCAGCCGGAACCGGAGTGGATCGGGGACGGAGATAGCACAAGTCCCCCAGGTGAACCTTGTAGGCAGAAAAGGAACGAGGGAGGAAAAGAGAAGAAGAAAGAGCACAAAGTGTGCGCGTTTTAGGGGAGAGTCACGGGGCACGAGACTGACGGGGCCGTGCAAAGTGTAGTGCGCATGCGTGCAGTGGGACCGGGAAGCATTTGCTTGATGCTTGGCGGTGGGAGTGGGTGTGAGGTAGGGACGGAAGAATTGATGCCTGTGTGTGTGGCACAGGCTTTAGTAGGACGTGATGAGAGATGGAAGTGAGCATATGCTACCACAGGAGATATAAGAAAGTCTTCAGTTTTGGATTTTTTATTTTTTTGACACCTTTCCACATGTCCCACAGGACTGTATAAGCTCTCATCCTCATTTTCCGTCCTTCCCCTCCCCTAAAGTAGGGACCCTGCCATTCTACCTGTATTTTCGAGAGTGTTGGGATGGAGTTAAGATGTATGTTGACCTGATTCCAATGGAAAGGAATGTCTTTGATGTCCGACTGCTCCGAGGCAGGCGGTGGCAGCATTGTGCTGAAAACACACCTCACCTTTACACAGTTGGAAACCTCATTACAGGTGACCTCAGCTGCCCTTGTTATATTTCTTCAGTCTTCTATCAATATGGGGGAGCAGCTGATGAGACATGTCAGTGTATAAAGTCATTTTCATTAACGAATCCTTAATTACTGGATGACTGTTGTAATACAGTCTAACACCACTGACACATTATACTTGTAAAATAACATCTTTCCCAGAATGCCTCAGACATTTCTTGCTTTTAAGAAAGAATCATGTAAACGTTTTCATTACTGTTACTGTTGTACGGCTTTAGTAAAATGACAGTTTGGTACAGACTTTTGGGGGGGGTATGTGAAGTTTTTTTAACAAACTAATATTTGTGAATGGATAAGAATGTTATTATAATGTGTTCAGGGAAATTAAAATGTCTGGGTGATTATCCTAAAAAAATGTATGTTGAAAATAGAGATTATGTTAGATTAAGTACTATATATGCTTGTGCTTTGGTGAGTTATTGTTGAGTCGGAAACAAGCTATAACTGACCCTCCAGTCGGTTTTCAGAGGCAGTAAATTACACAGGAGGAGATTGTCCCTCCTTCTGCTGAGCAGCTGGTGGATTCAAACTGCATACCTTTAAAGTGGCAGCCCAGTTGCTTACCATTAAGCCACCAGAGCTTTGGGAAGAAGAGGAAGGAAAAAAAATTTGGAAAACATGCATTTATTGGTTGTCTGCTTTATGCCAAATACTGTGAGGGTAACTGGGAGTGCACTGAGGAAAGATTCTTCATCTCCTAGTCTAGTGGAAGAGAGTAAGGCTGGAACTCTCTGTGGCTCAGTTAAGGAGTTGCACTGCAAGCACAAAGACAAGCAGTTTGAATCCCCCAGCTGCTTGCGAGGGAGAAGGATGGGCGATCTCCTACTCCTCCCGCTCAGTTCAGATTCCACAGCCCATAACGGCAGCAACAGTGGCGGAGGCGGAAATGTTGATTACATGTGCTTACAAATGGTATGGGACTAGAGTTCTGGTGGCTTAGTGTTAATAAGCTGTAATTCCACAGGTACATGGTTCAAATTCACCAGCTGCTCAGCAGGAGAGGGATTGTCAGTCTACTCCCATGTAATTTACTGCCCCCCTGAGAACCCATTCAGGGGTCAGCTAAGAGGCAGTTCCAATGCCACAACACACAGCAACAAACTCAAACACATAAAATGATCCTGAATGTATGTCAGCAAGTGTAATACATATTTAAGGGCAAGGGAGAATGCTGTAGGACTATAAAAGAGAATGAGGGTCAGGCAAGTAGAGTTGTAGTATCAGCAAAAATAAGTAATAGCTGAGCTCATGGAAAGGTTTTCAATGCCAGAAACAACCAGACCCCATCAGAAAAGTATAAAAGATCTCCCTCCACTTTGTAGAAGAGAAGACTGAGAATTTTTTTTTTCTATAATT